GAAAACCGTTTTCTGCAGGGTGGCAGAAAATTGACCGCGCGAGCGCTAACGACTTCCTTTCCCGAGGGGGCGGAGGGGAGAAAGATTGCGGGGAGGCTAAGTTTCGCCTGCAGCGTACTCCGAGAGAGTAGTGGGCGTGCCTATGTGAGGACCCTGATTCGGGAGTCCCTGAGGGAGCATACCGAAGCAGACGAAGACCTGAGGGCTGCTCTATGTGGTACGCGAGACTGTTGGGTGAAGTCGGAGAGGGAGTGACCAGCCGCAGCGTAGAATGGAGTACCAAGCGCATGACCCACAAACACGTGGTGGTATACACCGACGCCACGGGGGACGGCGAAGTAGCTGCTGTGGCCACCGCCGCTGACGGTGAGAGAGTGTGGTACTGTCGGGGTCGGGGGTCGAGGGTGTGACTCGAGGTTCGGGTCACAGGCATGAATCGCATCGTCGGGCGAGTCTGGGATCACGTCGCCGCGGAGCTGATGAGCGTGCATTTCAGAAGGATTACGAGTAAGTCATACGCCGCAGATGGACCGAGCGGAGCGGAGAACCAGTGATCCGGCATTGGCGATTGGTTCCAGGCAAGAAGAGGAATCAACGGCGAGGCATCATTAGGCGTGATGAGCGGCGGCAACGGTAACACTCGCATCGTAAGACATAGTGTCGTTGCGTTGTATCAGGCAGAGTGAGAGCGAGAGCCGCCGTGCGAGGCCGAGGCAATGAACAATGAACAACCGAGCAGCCCGAGGGGCGCTCGAGGTTGAGAAGAACACCGGTGACAGCAGGCTGCGGTGGCTCGTGCAGCAAACATGAGAAAAGGCCAAACGGGCCCCAAACAAAAAGAATACCCCCCGACGGTCGTTAGAGACCTCAGCGCGTGGGCTGACTTCGGCCACCGCGTGACACGGGAGGGTGGCCTCTCGCCAACTGCACATGCGTGCGGGTCTCCTCCGGCCCCCGAGAGTTTTACTTCGTTACACAGCTGTACCGTCTAAAAGTTAACTGTAATCCTAAGGATGTCAGTTTATTCTCATCGTCATCTCCAAGCACCTCAACCTCCAACGGAAAGCCATACCGAGTAAAAGGGGAGACAGTCGGATTGTGCAGCCTCGCGAATTGTGCAGGGCTAGCAAGCGCGAGTCGACTGGTGAGATTTTGCGCTATGGCTGATTTTATGGCATCCTTGAACTTTGCACTATAGATGGGCAGCGTAACGGTTTTTTACGGTTAACGTTACGGCGTGCGTAACGTAAGTAGTTATGTGCTATGCAATAATTGGAACCGCAAGCTGGGCCTTCCAGTGAAAGTGTGAATCGAATTATCGCTCGCCACAAAATCTTTGATCATACTGGCGAACAATGTTTCCCTATACTCAGTCTAACTGAGCCCACCACCACAGGCCTGGTTCCAGACACCGTTTGCTGTGAGACCTCTTGTTCTTTGGCTTTTTTGTGCCCCTTTATGGGAGTTTCGGAAATTTTTTTTATTTATTTTCCTTCATTTTTCCTAATTTTTCCTATTTTTTTCCTATTTTTCCTGTCCGGAAGAATTTTTGAATTCCCTTCATCTTTCCGAAGGAATGGAAGAAAATAATTGGAAAAAATTGGGGCCACCCTTTTACCGCTTTACCGCGTAACCGCTTTTAGTCTAGAGAAAATTCAAATGCTGCTGGGACAAGTTCGAATGCTACAGCAAGAGTACTCTCCTCACTCTGGAATGAACGCTCGCAACTTGCCGTACCACTTCCAACAGCTAATAATCTCCTAACGATTTGAGAACGGTGTCGAGCGTAACTCTATAGTTCCTGTGAAGCTGTCCAGTTTCATCACCGAAGACCATCGAGAACGGATCAAAAACCTTGTCCCGAGCGAGCGCCACTGTGAATGCAAATCGCGCGACTCTTTGACGAGCACGATTACGAACGTGCATACGTCGTTAGAATAAAAATCGGGGCTCCTCGACGGGGAGAGACTGAAGACACGATGCAGATCTACAACTGGTTGCGCTCGCGCCAGCCTGTGGCCTCAGCAGCTGAGGCTCAATCTGATAAACCGAGAACAAACCTTGTTCACGCTCGCGTACGAGGTTGCTCGCAGGCGCAAGTTCTTGATGGCATCGACGACCTCGACTCGAGGTCTCGGCAACCCCCTCCGTGTCTTGCACACCCCCGGTCCTTTCATCTCCCAGAAACATCTTTGCTGCTGTCTGTTAAGGAAGTGCTGGTCGAAGGCTTCCGGAGGACTAGAACTCGATGCAGAACCGGACATAAGGATTCAATAGTTAGTGGAGATTGAGTGCAGACAGATCAGATAGATCCACGGGATCCGAACAATGGTTTGAACGGACAATATTTGAAACGGTCGGGCGAGAGCGAGCTTTACGCTACAGGGAGCGCACGCCATAAGACTGAATGGCTATAGACTCTTATCATCTCTCCTCCCCGTAAGATTGGCACAAATATCAAAAGTGAATTAAATCTACTGAATATATGCAATAGTAATGGGATTCATATTCTGGGCTTTACCGAAGTACTTCCGTATATTTCTGGAATCTTGAACAGTGCCGTCGGAAAGCTTGTAAGTAGAATCGCCAAGTACTTGTTGAACCAGTAGAGGGCCTCTCCATGAAGGAGTAAGGGGGTCGACGTTACGGACCCACTTCATCACGGAGTCACCAACCTTGAATAGACGTCGTCGTGCGACTTGTCGAGTGTAGGTTGATGGATTGATACGCGAGAGAGCATCAGC